TGTGGGCCAACAGCAAAAGATAGTTGAAAAGATAATAAATCAAACTGTAATACTCACATGCTTGTGCATGTCAAGATCATATGGGATGTTAAAGCATGATTTTAAAAATTGAATTGAGGTCCACTAAACAAAAGAAAGGCAATACATTACATAGTAAAGGTTCTCTCTGCTAGAATGTCTGAATTACTGACATAGTCAAAATGCAAGATATTTTATACCCTTTCAAAAGGTAACATGTTCCATAATTAAGGCAAAAGTAATTTATTTTGTTTAACATATATAAATAATATCTCTATTTCTCGACATCTTTCTCCTAGCATATCAAAATAATATTTTATAATAAATGTTAGTAAATATTCATGATTAATCATAAGTAAATTTTAGCAATAGAAATAAATATTACTTTCAGAATTCAATGAACTTAGAGTTCCGAAATAATCTAATCAATATACATTAACAGTCTACAACATTCCTGAGAAAGGGCCACACAGCTCCTTTCAATACCACCAGAAGCCCACTACTTTACAATAGAACTCATTCTCCTATTGAACAGCTCTAGTTGTTTAAAAATATGCAGTGGAGATCTGCCCCCCTAAAACATCCACTAAATTCCTGATGTTTCCTCTAGTTTAGGATCTTTTCAATTTACTCGGAAATGCTTACACAGAATCAGACTCTTCTGGATGAATCAGTGGCCTAGGAATTTGATTACATTTGAAATAAAGTCCTAATTAAAGTAGGGCATTACCAGAGAAATATCATTTGCCCAGCCCCCAAAGGCCTTGCAGACTGTAGCGAACAATGGGTAGGGTCTAGTTCTCTGGTCTGTACAACAGAAGTTTGACCTTATAAAACTTCAGAATTGAGTGGACTGAAGAAAGTTAACATGTAATCCCCTCAAAAAATAAACAGAAATTCGGAACTAGTCACTTCTCTCAATTGAAATATGTAACTGTTAAAGGAGTAAGATATTCATGTTGTTTTGTCAAAGCCATTCCAATGTGAAGGCTACATAGAAGTCAAATTATTTTAAGAATGACTAGGCAGTAGAGCATCAGAACAAGAGAAATGGGTTAACTGACTAAATATTTAATAGCATCAGAAACTAATAACCTGGTGCATCTGTCTCTGCACCTGGGACTCTGGGTTTGCTAGTTCAGGTTGGTTTTTTAAAACACACCAACTTGGGTGGTTGCAGTGACTCACGGCTGTAATCCCAGCACTTTGGGAGGCTGAGACAGGTGGATTACTTGAGGCCAGGACTTCAAGATCAGCCTGGCCAACATGGAAAACCCCCATCTCTACTAAAAAACACAAAAAGTTAGCCAGGGTAATGGCACATGCCTATAGTCCCACCTAATAGGAAGGCAGAGACACAAGAATCACTTGAGCCCAGGAGGTGGAAGTTGCAGTGAGCCAAAATCACGCCACTACATTCTATCCTGGGTAATAGAGTAAGACCATCAAAATAAAAAACAAAAACACACCAACTTGGAAAGCACTTGGATAGAAAATACAACTTAACTTTCAGAACTTCTTTGGCCAACCTTTAATCTTTGTCCAAAGGGAAACATTCTTTTTTATAGAAATATGGATTTAGTCAAATTTTACACTGTAATATTTCTGCTTTGATCCATAATGTGTTCTTTTGATAAATTAATTATCTAAACAACATCTTATTTTCAGCTTTTTAGGGAAAGGAATACAGGGGCAATGGTAAACACATACACACACACGCATGTACATACTGGACTGTATTGATTTAAGTCTGAACTGCTAAATCTGGCTTTGCCCCCTTTCTACCCACTTAACCTTACTTGACTTGCAGTAAGGTAAGGCCTCACCATTTGCCATTCTCTGTCTCTTTAGCTTTCCCTGTTTCTTTCCTTGCAAGCACCAGGGTAGAAACAATATGTGTAGCTGTACTATAGAACAGCCCACTTCAATAGCTCTTGACCGAAGTGTTGACTAGCAATGGGCATGAGCCCTATTAGCTCTGCTGCAAACAACTCAGATTATATCAGAAATTGTTCTTCAAAAGGTCAGGAACTCTCTAGAACAAACCATTTATAAACATGTAAACAGGAAACTAGTTGAGGATTTTAAACAGAGACATGAAGAGTTTCTACCACAGCCTCTTATCTGTTTTAGAAGAAAGAGCACAACCCTTACATTAAACCTCTTTTTTTAAATGGAGGACAGAGAAATCAATGTCTAAATCATAAGCTACTGAAGGAAACATGCAGACTTCCCGATATATATATAATTTTTATATAATTTAAAATGTTTAATGCTTTGTTATTGCTTAATACCTACTATACATAAGCATTAAGATCACAAACACTATGGTTCATATACATGTTTGTTTGGATATTAGATTTCTGTGTTTCTACTCTTCTTAATATACTAAAATCTCATTTCTAAAATATGTCTATTCCATTACTAGCAGTGGTTATATATTCAGGTTTTCAATCAACTGATTTACTTGTTTGGATTGACTATAAATTTGTTGACATATATTGATGATTCCTCATTTTCTTGCCCAGAGATCATTTCTTCTACTCATTTATTTTCAGTCTCTCTGCTTTCTTATTTGACAGTATCCTATGAGCAGCATAACAGAGCATTCCAAGCTCATAAGGAACAGTGTAAACTGATTACCAGATTTTACGATGGAAACTATTCCCTGCCCATGTGATCACCCTGGCTGGATAATGAACTTTGTGAAAATATCCATGTCTTACCACACTAAGGCAACAGCCTCATTCAAACAAGGTCTTATTTTTCCCTTATACTTCAGTTCATAATTGTGAATATGGCACGATTCCAGAAACAAACTGTCAGTATGGGATGAGGTACAGTGTTAAAAATAAAATAGACTAAAAACTGGATTTTCACTTTTAAAAATTCTTGATATTCTTTTGTAACTGACAGAAAGAAAAATAGTCCTAATAAGATGTGTTTGAAAAATACTATAGCTGAAAAGACAGTGTATAACTGAAATTTAGGGAACTCACAGAAAATTTCCCTGCATGCAGGTGTTCAGAAGCACTGAGGGGTTACTAATGAACCCTAAATAGAAGTGTCAAATAGTTTGTTATGGGAAGAAGGTCCAGAAATAAAAGTGAAAATCAGAGCTGGTTCATTACACCGGCAGTGTGACTGGCAAACCCCACTGCTAACGTCTCCTTTAAACCGCAGGTGCATGGTTTGAGCGCTATGGTGTGTAGCCCCCGGCCCTGGCACAGAATGAACACAGCCTCCTCCATGTGTTCACAAATTGCCCTGCTTCCATTTTAGTCACATGTTCCCATGTGGGAAATTTCACCCAACACCACCACTTTAATTTTGGTGTATTTGCTTACTGCAGCTGCACTTGCTACCAAAAACATCATACCACAAAATTCCAAAGTAACTTCAAAGAAGAAGGAAGAAACCAAAAAAGTTCTATACATTCTTAGTTTTCTCCATGGAAGTAGTTTGTTCAGTTTAATAGCAGTTATCAATGTGGAAATACTGTAATTCAAACAAAAAAAAAAATCACCAACCATCCTAGCTAAAGAGACACAGATAAGAAACAAACTAATGATTTAAATGTCATCTACAGGCTCTCTAGTATACTGATGGTAAATCCCTTACAAATTTGGGTGTGTAACATAAAATATTGCCCATCATAATGATGCATATAAATATCTCTACACAAGAAAAGACTATACATATTTTACAACTTTTTTCAGACTTTAATGTTTTGCAGATGGCATCTGGATCTTAAAGATGTATAGATATTTTGCAGCTCTGCTTAATCATAAATAATACATTTGTCTGATTCATTAATACCAGAGGCATGTTTTTTCTCCCGATGAATATGCTTATCATCCATGACTGCCAATAATAAAAACCCTTATATGGAAATAACCCATTTCATAAAAATAGGAATTCACTTGCCATTTTCCATTCCTGCTGACTAATTACTAGGGTGTTGAAGAGTACCTTCAGATTGAAGAGTGTCTTCAGATTGAGTTCATAAAAGCTATATTTCTCATGTGTTTGGGCAGAAATTTTCAAGAATGTCATATTTCAGATTTAGTGAAAGCTCAAGGCAAAAGTTTTATCATGAAATGAACATATTAAGACTCAAAAGACACTTAAAGATGACATTACAAATATGAAGCAAATGTATTTGGACTAACAAAGGTCAAAAAAATTCAAATACCTACAAAAATATGGCAAAACAAGTAGAACATGTTGTAATGGCACGCAAAAGTGTTCATTGTAGTGTTTATTCTTTATCATGAGTTTAGGTTTCACATAGCATTGTTAATATAGGCCAAATATGCATTTAAATATATTTATAGTATTCAGTGTCTACTATGTGAATATCTACATAAGTTATTTTGAAATGACGTTTTCTTGTTCAATAGGTTTATTTTGGCAACAAAAAAAATGTATGGATGCTAGTGAAAATCATGTTTGCAGTAGATTTTAAAAGCCTCAAAGAATACATTTGTTGAAATTTGCATTCGGTTTGAAAAACGTGTGTTTAACAATTGAACACGGCCATATTTTAACTTTTAAGCTCTCGTGTTGTGAAAGTATCGAGGTATTACAGCAATTTACTCTTAAGGACATTATGCTGGGCTTTGAAATTTAAAAAATAGGATATTTCTTCTTGGAGTATTTCATGATCAAGTACAGTCCCTATGCGAGGAAAATTAAAGCTGTCTGACAAGTCCTAGAAACACCACTAGCTGTTAAAGACGTAGGAAATTGCATAAAAGCATAAAAAGCACTGGGTAATTTTGCAAATTTCATCTCTAAACACAATTGTAAAGATGTCTGTCTTTCAGTTCTTTCTTCCTCTTATTTCTGAAGCATAGCCCTTTAGTTCTTGCCATTTTAAAATCTTTGCCTACCATAGCTTTGCTTCTTAATGTACTGGTTGATCTTACCAGGCTAAAAAAGTATTTACAGGGGATGCTTGCTTTTATCTGTATTCACAGAGAATGCTAACAAATTAGAAGAAAGTGCCAGAGAACACCACATACCTTGTCCGGAACATTACAATGGCTTCTGCATGCATGGGAAGTGTGAGCATTCTATCAATATGCAGGAGCCGTCTTGCAGGTAACATTTTTACTCGTAAGCATAGTTAATGTATAAAGTTAATATGTAGAAACTAAATTGTGATGTTTATAGAAAATTGGTCGACATTCTTCTTGAATGGGTGATCAGCAACAAAACTTTTCTCTGCTTCTCCTGTGCATGTATACACACACACACATACACACTAAAAAATATATATGTGTGCACCTTACACACTATATAACACATTACTAAACTCTTCTAGTAGAATTTGAAATTGTACTTTGTGCATTATAAGCTCCTTAAAGGTACCAGTTCCTCTGTATTACCTCTCTTTCTCCTGAACGCAGAATAGTACTTGGCATATATCAAGTGCTCAGTAAGTATTTATCAGACAAATGAATGGATGAAGCCTCATGTATTTTAGATAGCATAGTTGCTTCTCAGAGTTCATCTCTTCCTAAGTCCTTCAGGTCTTCTCATAAATATCATCAATCCTTGTTTTGCCAGGCACTCACTATTTTCTATAGATCTGCTCTCCCATGGAGCCTTGCAAAGTGAAATCATTAGCTATACCTCCACAGTTTCAAACTCAGTAGAGACACAAAGAAATTGTCTATCTGGATTTAGTTTATGACTATAAATACTGGCCAGGCATGATAGCTCACACCGGTAATCCCACACTTTGGGAAGCCGAGGCGAGAAGATCACTTGAAGCCAGGAGTTTAAGACTAGCCTGGGCAACAAAGGGAGATCCTATCTCTAAAAAAAAATTTTTTTAAATAAAAAAATTAAAAATTAGCCATGCAGGGTTGCATGCACCTGTAGTCCCAGGAGCTACTTGAGAGCTGAGATGGGATGATCCCTTGAGCCCAGGAGTTCAAGCCTGCAGTGAGCTATGGTCACACCACTACACTCCAGCCTAGGCAACCAAGCAAGACCCCATCTCTTATATATGTACAAATATATATTTATTTAAATACTTCTGTGTATTCATGTCTAAAATATAATTATTTCAGAGATGGCAAAGCCAAAATGAAAACATGATTTATGTTTATTTTTATTTACATTAAGTACAAGTGACATATGATGAAATAGGTTGTATTTTCATTTACAACAGAAAGTTTCTCTCTCTGTCTCTCCCCCTCCCACTCTTCCTCCCTTTCTCCACCCCTCCACCTAGAGCTGTCTTCCTTTCATGTTTTCCCTCCACAAAATATACTAGCACAGGCCTTCAACTGAAGTCAGGCAGAGTGAACAAAACTGAGAAGTTACTCCTACTACCCGCTCACTCCCCAGCAGTGTCATTATTATTAAACCCTTCCTGATAGAAAAAAATTCTCAGGATGTAGTTATAAGAAATTCAAAGTGAAGTAATAGAATAGTTCCACAAAATCAATGACATGTTGATCCCCTTTAAATATTGTTTTCTTATGAGCTATTTTCTCATTTAATAGACACATGCTAATTTTCATATGTAGATTGTCTACCTGAGCTTTCCATGAGGGTTGAGTGGGAGAGGCAACATTCATTCTCAGATGAACACTACCTCGTCTTGTTTTGCAGAACTATATTGCCTACACCATACTTACTTTTTTCTAACAAAATTTGACTCTATCATCAGCAGATGATTTTTTGACCAGAAAACTAATGACTCATCCTGTAACTCTGATCCTAGTATTTCTCAACATTTATTCTGACAATAGCATAGAGAATGTTTCATCCAAAACAGACAGACTAATTTTTATACCCATGTCATCAGAAACAAATACTTTTTCAAGTAAACATGTTGACTTAGGTTGATTAAAGAGCAAATTAAATAACATGTAAAGCTCACCTTTCAGAAAATATAGAAATAACAGTCATTCTTGGACATGTATTATCTCTCTATATTGTCACCAAAAACAAATTATCGAGTAATCCTCCTACCTTTGAAATTACTATCATAAATGTAAAAAGAAACCACATATCTTATAACTGAGAAACACAAAGACATCTTATTGAAAATAAGTAGTTGTGAGCCATAACCACAAAGTAATATTTATTTAGAAAGGGACACAAAAAGCCCTAATTTTGTGATGAAAATAAATGCCTATCAATCAACTATAAAAATGAAGGCAGCAGCTACAGGTAACTGGGCACTATAATTTCTTCCAGGTGTGATGCTGGTTATACTGGACAACACTGTGAAAAAAAGGACTACAGTGTTCTATACGTTGTTCCCGGTCCTGTACGATTTCAGTATGTCTTAATCGCAGCTGTGATTGGAACGATTCAGATTGCTGTCATCTGTGTGGTGGTCCTCTGCATCACAAGGTCAGTAACAGCACTTGGTGGCTACTCAAATAAAGGGATATATTGTTCCTCCTTTATTTAATCAGATCCCTCTGAGTTGAGTTCCTTCATGGACTCTGTGGCCATCCATTCTCTCTGAGTCCTATGTCCTTAGCATAAGAGTATTTGAATAGCCAGTGGAGTGGTACAATAGCATATTGGGGTGGTACAAATTACTTTCCTTAATTTTGCCTGATGATAAAGATTATTTATTTTTACCTACTTGAATTAGTATCCTTATCTACCTGAATCAGTATCCTTATGTACCTGAATCAGTTTTAACATATCTTGGTATAATAACAAACACATTTTTATCTTAGGATGACAAAATAGTTTTCAGTCACAAAATGCACAAATACATGTAGTTGTACTTTTATGGTAAATGAAAACCAGAGATACATAAAAACATGCAGCAAATATCACAAAAAACTCTTATATCAAATTCCCAGCCGAATCAAAAGGCAATTGTTTCCTGGAGAATCAGGTTGAAAGACACAGGGGTTTCCATCAGTTTCAACAGAAAAGAAAACCATGATTAATTAGCAATGTCTGACATTGGGCCTGGAGTAAAGGAATGAGGCCAGTATTGCTTAATTTCATTAGCATACAAACCAATGATAACCAAGAATTGGACTTTAAGCCAAATGCGTATCATTTATGTTGTGTGTAACCAGAAAAGTCATTGAAGATAGTCCTTACTGACTTGATTTCACTCTTCTATAAAAAGTTCCAAGGAAGTTTCTAAGATTTTCACCAAATTCACCAGGCTTTTAGACTTTCTTCATTTGTGCAGCTCTCCAGTAAATCAAAATATTTCTCTAAAAATTGTTTTGAACAGATATAAAAATAAAAGAAAGTATCATATCTTTAGAAAATAGGGCCATAATACATTTCAGTATGGTATTGCACTATCTTCTTTTAGGACAAGTGTTGCATTTGCTCTTGAAAAAGACAAAATGTGGTTCATAAATCCTCGCCTGGACTAAAGGCTTAAGGGAAGATCATCAACTAAAGCTTTGGGCTGCTCTAAGCCGAGTTGAGTTCATCAACTCGACTCTCACGTTTAGATGCCAAGTGATTATATTAAAATAGATTCTGGGGAACATAAAGATAACGAGAATCCAAAAATATGCATATAAAAAGAAAAAGAAAAGAATCTGAAACATAGGAAACTGTGCCATATTACTCTAATATCTAGCCAATATCAGTACATGAAAAACAAAACCTATATTTAATGGATATAATTTAACAATGTGATTGCTACTTCGACTACTGACACAAATGCAAAACTGTAAATACTTTAGCAGATGTTTTCAATTCTGTTATGAATCACAGTTGCATTCCCATACATAATAAAAACAACGGAAATATACAGGGTCCTTTCCTCACGAGAAATTGTGTAAGCGTATATTATGTGTGTGTATCATATATGTGTATACACATATACACACATATATATGCACATTTAATAACATTACAGAGAAGGAACAATTATCTCCGCTTTCAAGATAGAGACCCTGAGGTAGAAGTTGGCAAATTGCTGACTTTACACAGCTGAGCAACAAGGGCAGAAATGGGGTCCAGGTGGCCTAGTGCCAGAGCCTGGGCACTTCACCATGCTCATACTGCACCGTGTCTGGTAAGGATTTTGTGTATTCTGATGCTCAAGATTATCTAAACTGAGTTCCAAATTGGAGTATTTTTCCAAGGCATATGGACTTATTCATTTTCCGTGTTATAATAAACTAAAACCTGTCCTCAATTTATTGGCTTTTGAGGGGAAGACATAGCACATAAACTAAATTAGTATTTTGTAATGCCTTTTACAAATCTGCCTTAAGACCATCAAACCTTCTAGAGCCTTTCCAGGATTCATACTAGTCAATAAAGCACACCAGTTCCCAGTGTGGATTCATTTCACTCACTTGAAAACATTCCGCTCTGAAACCAGACTTTCCAACTAGGCTATCTGTCCCCAAACCCCAGAAACCCTACTTTCCTGATGACCTGGCCATATTTGTCTGTCAAGACCTATTTCAAAATAGGTCTTGCTAAAAGATTTACAAAATTGCAGCAAGCAGAAGTCCTCCCGTTTCCCTTGATTTTTCGTCTTCCTCATCTGGTCTCTCCTGTCTTCTGCGTCTCTCTTCTATCTCTTCTCCTTCTTTCTACTTTCTTATTTTCTGTTTGGCTTGACTATTTTAGCCAAACACCTGCCCTCCTCCTAAACACCACATGTGTCACAAAAAATATGGACATTTGGAGACATATTTCAAAATGAAACGAGTTGCCCTGTTGAGAAGTTGGATTTTTGATCCTTTTATTTCTAGCTCCCATTTGCTGGGAATGTGATTTCAGCTCCCTGTTCACTTTAACAGATCTATCCTCCGTCTAAAACTATACATATATATATTTATATACGCCTACATACACACACACACACATACATAAACCCATATACACACATGATATATATGTGTATGTATATTTATATATTTTCATATATTCTGATACTTCACAGATTATTACAATAGAATTTTATATGAACTTTCCATTATTCTCATTTGCATAGTCAAAGCATTTTTTGTTACAAGAAAAAAAATACTAGACCAGAGATTTTCAGATAATTTGACTGAATATTAGATTTTTATAGATGCTAAATAATTGGTACCAATTTATGTCCTTAATCTATACTATTAAGGTACAAAAATGATATTACGCTGGTCCAAAACAATGTTCCTTTCCATTACATATCAGATATTAACAGTTGGCTCATTCTCTGCTGGTTCGATAGGATTTAAACTCATGACATTGAAAAGTCAATATAACATTCATTCTTAAGACATTTAAAATATAAAATTGTTGAAGACCTTTAAAGTGAGATAAAATGGGCTCACAACTTGCTTGATTGCATTGTGCTGAGTCATTCTTTGTGCCTTAATGAGTAAGCAGTTAAGGACAAAGTAAATGTCTTCCTCTTCAGCTTCTGCCTGTGTTCAATTCCCAACAAAAACTTAAAGACAACTGCACAGAGAAGCAAAATAATAACTTTTCCAAAATAATCCAAGTTTCTACTAATGATAAATTCTTTCATCTGTAATATTTTAATAATTTGCTTAATCCACATCTTTGCTCTGTGATTGTAGGACCAAACTTTAGGTAATAGCATTGGACTAAGATTTGTAAACTTTCCAACCTTCTAGGAAATGCCCCAGAAGCAACAGAATTCACAGACAGAAGCAAAATACAGGGCACTACAGTTCAGACAACACAACAAGAGCGTCCACGAGGTTAATCTAAAGGGAGCATGTTTCACAGTGGCTGGACTACCGAGAGCTTGGACTACACAATACAGTATTATAGACAAAAGAATAAGACAAGAGATCTACACATGTTGCCTTGCATTTGTGGTAATCTACACCAATGAAAACATGTACTACAGCTATATTTGATTATGTATGGATATATTTGAAATAGTATACATTGTCTTGATGTTTTTTCTGTAATGTAAATAAACTATTTATATCACACAATATAGTTTTTTCTTTCCCATGTATTTGTTATATATAATAAATACTCAGTGATGAGAAAAAATTGGCATTCTTAAATTTGCGGTATCTCATAACTGTAAATATAATCAGACTAGTACAATCTGTACAGCTACCAATATTTCATGTTTCTTCTCATCTTGAGACAGCACATTAGTTTGTACAGGACTCAGTGGCTAGGTTTTGAGTGATTCCAAGATCAAGGGAAATGATGGTTATTGGAAAAGAGAAAAAAATAATTTACTTTTTATCAAGTGAGGATAAAATATTTCAGATCTTTGAATCATCTCTATTTCATCAACTTTCTTCCCTGGCCTTCCATTTTCATCCCTAGAGCAGAAAGATCTCTGGCATATAAACTAAATAAAAGAAGAAGGGGAGGGAAAGTGTTTATAACTCATAAAGGAGAGGGAAAGAAGATATTGGTTTTTATTGGGGAAGTAGCTTAGAATCCCCCAGTTAAGTGCATGTATCTGAAGGATACTGAACAAGTTACATACTAGGTATACACAGAGTGGCAAAATACATTCCATTTAGGTGGGTGGAATTACCAGGGGAAAAACGTAATAATACCATTAAATGTGAAACACCAAAGTCGTGATTTCTCAAGAGCACCATACTATATTTATAGTATATGGTTCTTTGAAAAGAAGTTAGAATCACAACCAATACCCCATGAATAGTTTTATGGCTAATGCAGCACCGTAATTTGTAAGGGATGATGACAATATTTCATGAAAACAGAGATATGTTTTGAGCATATTTATATGGTGAGGTAAGAAAGAAAATCTTATAGCATCTGAAAAACCTCAGTGGGAAGTTGGTATGGATTTTTGTTTGATTTGTGCATACAAATAGGTATCACAACTTGGTTTGGAAAAAATAAGCTGTGAAAAGTCTCAAGGAATAAGATGAAAATAAATCAATTATTATCATTTAGCTCTGCAAAGCTTTCCATGGCTAACACAGTAAATTTAAATAAAGCTCTCTTTGTCTCCTTCAAATAACCTGTGCGTGGACTTTAAAAAAAAAAAAAAAAAAAGACACTCCAAATATCCGATCAACACATTTTGAATATAAAATATTCAGTGAAAAATTATTTTCTGAAGTGATGTTTAAAATATTCGTCAAAACATAAATAAAGGTGACAATCTAAGTAGGATTTAGGACTCTGAAAAACCTGGTTTTCTAGATTAGTCATCACTGTGAAAAGTGTGACTCTATTGGCATAACCATCACTCAAATGTTCCCGTAAATCGGCCCTATGCCACCTGTACAAGACAAATTCCTTTTCGCCTTCTTCGTGGAAGTTTAGTTTGGTTACCAGATAGAAACATGTAACAAGCCAGGGTCTCCTTTGTAAGATTCTTGTGACAAAGAAACCCTTCCTCCTCATAAAGGAAGAGGAAAAAGTGCAACATCCACAGAGATTTATAGAGATTAAAAGAAACAATTCCACTGACTCTTGCTTGTAGGAGTGTGAAATGATTTGATTTGTTAGATATGGATGCATTGCTATATGTGAATTTTTATCAAATGATCATAAACCTATGTCCTTGGAGTTCATAATATAATACACTCTTGCCCATTTCCATACTCACCCACCCCATGAAGGAATTCCTTTTAAAAGATGCATAACAATCTTAAGTGAGCATATACTATGTGCCAGGCACTGTTCAAGGTCCTAGGGAATTACAAACAAAACATGGTCTCTGCTACAAAAAAAAAAAAAAAAAATCTCACAACCTAGAACTAACAGATAATCACCCAGCCTCTACTAGCATATTTCTGGTAATTTGGAATTTCATCCTTGGGCAGTTATAATTTTTCAAACAATTCTTTCTCATATCAAGGTGATGCTTATTTCTATGTGCTTTCTACCCAGGGCTCCTATTTTTTCTCTTAGGAGCACAGGAATAATGACTTATGTATTTAAAATAAAAAGAAGAAATCATGTTTTCCCACTCACCCCACAGCCTTCCTGCAACTCTGTTCATCTCCAAGTGAAACATCCTTAATTTCCTCATCTGTTCTTCATGTGATATCACTTCCATATCCCCCTAGCATCTGCATTGTCCTTCCTTGGACAATTTCTACTTTATCAGTATATTTCTTTGAGTGTAGAGCTCAGAATTTCACAATTCTTTGACCAGCACGCTATGTAGTAGAACTTGTAGACGGCAAGTTTAATTGAGAGCCGTCATTCTTAAATTCAAGTTCTACTTAGACCTGCAATTTTGCTGTGGTACCATGAACAAGTCATTTCATATCTCAGATCTCAGTTTCCTCGTTCAGAAGATCACTTCTGTCTCTCTATCAAGATTCTATATATTCAGGAAAAAGGCACTATATACTTTTATTATTGCTACCAAGGACCATATTAACTACTTTTATTGCTTATCCTCAACTTAAATTCAAAATTGTTTTAAAGTAAACTGCTAATGGCCAGGCGTGGTGGCTCACGCCTGTGATCCCAGTACTTTGGAAGGCCGAGGCGGGTGGAACACGTGAGTCCAGGAGTTCGAAACCAGCCTGGCCAACATGGCGAAACCCTGTCTCTACAAAAAAAAAATACAAAATTAATCAGGTATGGTGGCGCCACCTGTAGTCCCAGCTACTTGGGAAGCTGAGGCAGAGAATCACTTGAACTGGGAGGCTAAGGTTGCAGTGAGCCAAGATCGCGCCACTGCACTACAGCCTGGGTAAAAGAGTAACGCTCTGTCTCAATAAATAAATAAATAAACTGCTAATATGCCATGTCATTCCCTCATTTACTCATTCATTCGTTGTACATTATTTATTAATTTAGCAAGGGCCTTCAGTTACCAGCACCACGCTAAGTTACAAAAAGACAAAGATAAATAAGGCTGAGACCCTGCCTGAAAGGAGTTCACTATCAGAACATCCCAGTTCCTTGCTTCAGAGATCTCACAGTCCTGTGGGGAAGACTGAGAAGTAAATTAAACAATTATGAAGAATGTGACACAAAGGCTCTGATACTGGTCAGCCCAGAGTGCTTGGGGACCCGGAAGGAGGAAGTGCGAGGCTGGGGAGGTGTCCTCTTGACAGTAAGTTACACAGAATGACTTCTTCATTCTCCGCACATACTCCGACTTCTTGCTTCTGATATTTTATGCACTCCTCATGCTTTCTTCACACCCTTCTCTTCGCAAAACCCAGAACAAATAACAGCTTATCAGTGAAGCCTCTCTGATTCCCTTGGCCATCTTCCTAATTATCTCATAGTGCTTTTCATGTTGTTCCCTCATTGTCCATGCAAGTCTGTTTTTCCCTTAGCAAAGGAGCAACAAAGAAACAGAAAATCAGTGCCTTGCCAATTGTTTTTGTTAGTTTAAGAAACATTTACTGGATCCCACACCATGCCAGACACTATTCTAGGTACTGTGATGTAGCAATACAGTGCCTACCAGGTCTCTGCTCACAGGCTCACATTTCAGCAGAGGAGGTGAAGGTGGATGTGGGGAGAGGGTTCATCAAACAACAACAACAACAAAAACTGCAGTTTCAAGTTCTACACAAAGAATTAAAAATAGGACAAGGTGACCGGGTAGTGACTGAGGACTGGGTGCCTCCAAAGTGAGCATAATGTTTAAAACTTGGGCTCTGAAGCAAGGCAGATATGACTGCCAGTCGAAGTTTCACTTTACTAACAAACCTTGGACTAGTTGCCTAACTTCATTATGCCTCATATTTTAAATGGAGAGAAAAATATCTTCCATGTCTAATATGACTGGTTTGAGAAATGAACATGACAATCCATACTTGTGCTCAGAATAGTGACATGCACACAGTGAACTTTCAATATATGGAAATTATTTTATAGGGATTTGATAAATAAGTGTCGTAAAAGTAAATAAATAAGAAGAAACCATATTTCATCAATTAAATGTTGCATCATGGGAATCATATGGTCACAGTTAGAAGGAATCAAGCAATCATCTTTACCCAAAAAAAACGTCTCTCATCTCTTTGAAGACAAGAGAGCTGGTTTTGGTTCTGGAAAATAAGGCAACATAGAGTTAAGAAACAATGCAGCATCTCTAAATCTCTTTTTCAAATGGGTCCACTGGTATTGTGTCTGAATAAAACGGAGGTCATTCTGCTACTTTAAAATAGATCTATCCTGATAAAGCACATACCATTAAACTTCTTGTGTGTTTTCAGACAGGGAATGAGTGAGTCAATATTGCAGTGACTTTGCAGGATCAAAGTCTTTACTTGCATGGATCCTGGAGAAGTCAGTGCAGACTATTGAAATATGATAGAGATGATCTCTATGTCCTATCAGCCTCTCTACTAATGTTTATCTTCAGATGCTACTTCCCTTTGCCAAAATTATGCAACCCCTGCGCCACCTGTTGCTCTTCCCCAGTTAGAGTAGACATGTTAGTTATATGATTAATCATCTGGATGTCAATGATAAAAGGTTTTTCATTGAATTTATTGATATATGCATACCATCATCCTCAGGAAGCTCACATAAAGGATGGATAAAGGAGAAACAGAGGATAATACAAAGTAATGGGGTTGGTTTTATAACCAGTGCATAAATATACAAATGAATATGACCCTTCGAAATCAACATCAGGAAGTTATGTGTGATGTCCCACCTGCTACCCAGCACATTCAAAGCCTCCTTCCAGCCTCACTGTGGACAGAAATCTACTGATACCTCTACTCCGGGTATGGCACCTTGGTTAATATCTACTTCCAGTAATACTTAATGTGTTGTTTTAACTTGAATCTTTGGTACATTTTTAATTTTTAATTAATTTTTACTCTTTCTCTTACATCAGGTAAGAAATGAAGAATAGAATACGTTCTTTTATTTTTCCAAGCCAAATTTAATCCAGGACAAGAACCTAACTCAGAACTAATGAGAAGTCCCAAATCAGGTATTATAGGGGAAAGGGAGAAAGGGATAGGAGCAAAGTCTGGCCCTCTGTTCTCAGTGGTCCCATTGTCGTGGCTAAACCTCCCTGTCTTCCTGATCCATCACAGGCACTCCCCACACAGGCGGCTCAGCCATGGTGATCATCCTGAGGCAGCGTCTATCAAGACCCACATAGTCAAACCCATTCTTCAGGCTTTATTTTGAGAGGACTTTATTCCCTTTCTCTCTATGGATGTCTCCCCTTATTGTACTTTCTCTCTTTCTCGAAATAATAACCACCTCTTTTTTCTTCACCTCATACAATAGCATCCTCCATTATAGCCCTTCTCTGCCACAATCTAGCTTCATTCTTTTCCATGAACTTAGACCTTGAAAACAGAGGCCTTTTAATGAATCAAAGACATGAAAACAAAGCACAGAATTATGTCCCAAATTATCACGAAGTTCATCAAATTATTAATAAATATATTACATACATAACACTTTATTACTTTATTCACTGGCAAAATTAGCAAATATAGATAAGTCGGAGGCATAAAATAATATCATCACCAAAAGAAAAGCACCATGGTGTTTGTGTATCTCATTTCAAATAATTTATATGAATATATTAATATATGTTGAATTTTTTTAAGACAAGAAAATAATTTATTAATAAACTGAATCCTCACTAAAGAATAAGCTATGAAGTTTGATAGTTATTAAGCATAATTTGTCCAACTACACATATACAGGGTAATTTTTGTGTACATTTCAATCACTCTTAGTTACGAGTCAGTGAGGCCTTTAAAGAATTTAGCTGAGGATAATCTCTATTGCATTGCATCTTTACCTTTCCTTCCACCCATCTCACATACTACTTAAAAGGGGCCTTTCGTCTTCACACTTTCATGCCAGTTGAAGGCATTCTCAGTCTCATGCTCTGCATCTGTCCAAAGTGTACCCGTAAAGCATGGAAACCTTATTGACAGTTTCTCCCTAATTATCCCTGTGTCTAAGTCATATCTACGTAGATTCAGAGATGCTAAGGCAGTTTTTCCCCCCACTCACTCTAAGGATGTTTTGTTTCTTCTCTTTTCACCTTGTGGA